ATCTAGAAATTTTAAAGTTATTTGATTTCAAAATTATGATAATTTTATTTCAATTACCCATTAAAATGGATGTAAGTTATAGATAATTGATTTCTGGATTAATTGGATGAGTTCATTATTATAGACATTTTTTGGATCATCTAAAGGTGGAGTAATTTTTCTTATAATTAATGACATAAATTTTTGTCACTAGTTTTATTTATATACCCAAAAGTAAATAGTATGGGATTTTATCACTAAGTGTTATAATTATCTCCCAAAGGAGAACATTAATATGTATAGAAGTAACTTGTGTTTGAATATTCATTTATTTTTAATTTATAATTCGAAACATTAATATTAGACATGTGTTAAATTGGGTACCTTATACATTCATTCGCTTCATCTGTTCCAATATTTAATATGTTAAATTTTCCTTACTAGTGAAAATTGCAATATCACTTCGTTTTTTGGATCTTGATTTGACTTTTCAAGTTGAAAAATCGGCTATTACCAGCTGACTGCTAGTAACAATGAAGAAACTTATTCTGAGCTTGGGGAAGTCGAACGGGACATAACCTGATCTCATCGAATGAGTAGCAAGTGTGACATTAAGTTTGCTCTTATTAAAATTGAGAAAATGCTGGAGAATTTATGAAATTTGTAGAAGAGTTCTCATAAATTGCTAACAAGCTGCCTGTTGCGAACATAACCAGTACCTTAATCACAGTGAAGTTTCATGGTTCTCGTACTATGCACGAACACGTAATCGAGATGAGGCAAACATCATAGCGAGACTCAAGTCTCTTAAAATGACAATGGATGAAAATTTTCTTGTGCAGTTCATTTTGAGAAACTCGTTACTGTCAGTGAGTTCATTCAGAACTATTAACACGATGAAAGATAAATGAATGCATGAAAAATGCACAAATAAGTCGAGAAACCAGACTAAAAGAACTCCAACCACTATGGTATGTAGAAACCAAGGAGCTGAAAATAAAGTTGTAAAGAAACATGGAAAGGGTAAATGAGATTGACGATTTCCTCTATTAAAATCTGAAAGAAAAATGACAAATGCCATTTTGTAAGAAGTTTCAAACATTTTCAGAAGACTCTAAAGCGTAAAAACTGATTTGAAAGGTGAGCATAATGC